CCTGGCTTTTCGGTACGAAGGAGTGTAATTGTACCTTTGCACCATATGTGCAATTATGGTACTCACCTTCAAAGACGTGTTGTCGCTAACGACTAATAGAATCTCATCGCAAATCAATTGAGAGCTGAGTTTACGATGGTCTTGCATTGGATTAGAGATTATACAAGTGTGGGACGGACCCATAGACCCTATCTAACAGGAATCGCTTCTCTTCCTGAAAGACGCTGTTAATCGGAAGGGACACTCTTCGTTACGACAATAGATCGTATAACGCATCGGATTTGTTCGATCGACTCTATAATCGGCTGACAGCCCCATGTGAAACTGTTTGATTGCCCGGACGCAATCTTCCTTTGTACGAAACTCGTCACCCTCCTTTAGTTGCCCCTTTGTTGCGTAGTTGGGATTGTAGAAAACATCCGTCGAGGGTTCATCGTCACCCAAGTCGAGAGTTGTCATATGTTGAGGTGGACAACAAACATTGTCAGGTGGAACTCCGTCGTCCTGGTTGTTCACCATATCGTCAATAATGACTTCAGTTGCTTCATCTTCTTCGTTAACAACATTGACTTCATCGTGTTCATCGTCAAAATCGCAAAAACTTGAGAAGAATCAAGTTGTTGAGACAGTTGTTGTTGTTGTAACGTAACATATAACACAATATCTGAGAAACCTGAGTAATCGTGACTCCAGAACATGTTACGCACATCTTCATCGTTTCTCACCCTTAACGGGAAAATTTTACATTCGACATGGCCGCCAAAAAACAATGGGTTTTTGTATATAATTTGCCCAACTGGACCACATTGCTGTTTTTTTCTATTCTTGCCTTCAGGTGTAAAAAATTAGACCTTATGTCAATTAAAAACCTTGTAACTTCAGTGTTTCTGAAATTGTAACCAGATGTTTCATCTTCGAAAACTTCACGTCTAAGATGTGCCGAAATCATATATTGTGGTGTTTGAGACATAGCAAAAATTTTGTTTGATTGTTTGAGAGTTTGAGTGTTTGAGAGTTTGAGTGTTTGAGAGTTTGAGTGTTTGAGTGTTTGAGTGTTTGAGTGATTGAGTGTTTGAGTGGTTGAGTGTTTGAGTGTTTGAGTGATTGAGTGTTTGAGTGTTTGAGTGTATGACAGTTTGAGAGTTGAGTGTTTGAGTGTTTAAAGAGTTTAAAGACTTTATTAAATAGTCTGAGTGTTCGATTGTTTAAAGAGTTTAAAGTTCTTTTACATGTATTCAACTTAAATTTATTTGCAGCATGTTTCACAATCAATGACATACATCAGGACTTGAACATACAGGACAGTAAATGAATCTGTAATTTTCACATGTGACCTTGCGAATCAATGACCATGCATGCAGGCCTATGAGATTCTCTTTCTGCATGCACCAGGACACTTGTCACGCATGCTTCACAAGCAATGACATGCATCAGGACTTAAACAGGACACTTGATAAGACGGGACAATGCAAAGTTCTGCAGTCACATGTGCACCTGCATGCCTACATTGACCATGCATGCAGGCCTACGAGATTCTCTTTCTGCATGCACCAGGACACTTGTCACGCATGCTTCACAATCAATGACATGCATCAGGACTTGAACATGACACTTGATAAGATGGGACAATGCAAAGTTCTGCAGTCACATGTGTTCTTGCATGCCTACATTAACCATGCATGCAGGCCTACGAGATTCTCTTTCTGCATGTACCAAGACACTTGTCACGCATGCTTCACAAACAATGACATGCATCAGGACTTGAACAGGACACTTGATAAGCCGTGACAATGCAAAGTTCTGCTTTCACATGTGATCCTGCATCAGGAATCTCTGCCTTTCACTTGTCATGCATGCTTCACAATCAATGACACGCATCAGGAATCTCTTCCTTTCACTTGTCACACATGCTTCACAATCAATGACACTTGTCTAACATGCATTTACAGCACACTCTCTCGTGGACTATAAATATAGGGTCTTTGCCTAGCAAACTCTGCTCACACTCTCTAAGTCTCAAACAATCAAACTCTCAAACCCTAAAAATCTCTAAGTCTCAAACTCTCGAATTCTCTAAACTGTAAAAAAACTCTCAAACCCCAAACTCTCTAAGTCTCAAACTCTCAACCCCCAAACTTTCTAGTGTCTCAAACTCTCAACTCTCAACTCAACATCTCTACACCTCAACAACTCAAACGAAAATGTCTTTACTCACCATGGGCGACTCTCATAGAGGCACGAATGAAAATGTTGCAGAGTTTGTAAGTTTTTAAATCTTAGATATATTTACAATCTGCTCTAGAAAAATGATAAGTCTTTTACTTCTTGTCTAACGTAACATTAATTATTTTGCATGATGTATCAAGGTTTCGCTGTCGTGTGCATGATTATATACCACACGACGAGCGCATAGCGGGTTACCTTCAAAACTGTGGGTTTGGTGATGTGATCAAAATCACATCATACTCGCTCGATACAAAGTTTATTCTAGCGTTGTTAGAACGCTAGAGACCGGAGACACATACATTTCACCTACCTTTTGGTGAGTGTACTGTGACTCTCCAAGACGTACACATGTTGGTCGGCCTACACATCGATGGTAAGGCCGTCAACGACAAAGTTGGTGTCCCTGACCGACTTTGCGAAGATTTGTTGGGCGCCCCTCTTTGTGTGGACGCGCCTCAGGCGAAAAATGATGGCCGCCCGAGGGGTCAGGGAATTAATTTAAAATACCTAAGAGAACATTACAACAGTATTCTCTTAACTGATGATAGCACTCCATTTGACATAATAGTCAAAACACGGTGCTATCTTTTGATTTTGTTCGGTCATTTTTTATTTCCAGAGGGCACTGGAAATACCTTCCATACTATGTATTTACCGTTATTGCAAAATATTAACAAAGTGTGTGAATATAGTTGGGGATCAGCTGTCCTCGCCCATCTTTATAGCGCCCTTTTCAAAACTTCAAAAAAAATACATGTACTTTTTATGGTTGTGCTTATCTCCTGCAAGCGTGAGGTTGGTCTAGGATGCCAACACTTGCTCCAATAAACCGGAATGCTTTTACATTCCCGTACGCCAACAAGTGAGTTTCTTTTCTAGAATATTAACACAACTTCATTTGCGTCTAAGTTAGTAATTTCTGAGATGTGTTTTAGAAGCTAATTTATATGTGTTTATTTTTTTAGATGGTCTGTTCCAGGGATGAATTATCAGAGATGTCATAGGCACTCTATAATTCAATACCGCAACCTCATCGACAACCTTGGGCCAGATGATGTAAGTTATTTACCATTATTTTTTTTAATGTATATGCATAAACCTTTCAAACTCTGTCTTACTTATTTGTCCAACTTTATTGTAGTTTGTCTGGATGTCGTACGAGGGTCTCGACCACCAGCCCAACCCCGACGATGTCGCTGTGTGGACATCAAGGACACCCATAATTAGGTTCACTACGGTGGAGATGCACCAAAGTGACCGAGTGAAACTATAATTTGGGATGCATCAGGATATTTCAGATGCTCCAGTGGACTTGGGGCAATGGCATTAAAAGCGGGTGGACGCACAATGATTGGAAGGAGTTGCGTATACACTGGAAAAGAAGAAGGAAATACGTATTAACCGACCGTATTGTGCATGGGGCTAGGCCAAGTCTTCAATATATGACTTAGTTTAGGTCTGTCACGACATCTCAGCCTTTCTTGTCCCAGCCAACCTATTTGGCCGACCCAAGGGAACGCGATTCTTCGTCAAACCCACAACAACAATTCAGTGCCCAAAACCAGCCTTACGAAAACCCATACATGCCAACAAATACCCCTTATCAACAACGACAACCTTACATGCCACCCACCCAATCCCAGCCTCAACCACCTTACCATTACAGCCCTGATACGTCTTTTGAGCTTACCCCCTCCACCTATAGCCCAGACAACTCATTTGACCCTACCCCCTCCAACTACTCCTCCAACTACCCCCCCCCCCAACTATCCACTATTTGACTACCACACACCGCAACAACCAACACACCTAGACCAACCTAATTCCATGTACATATTCAGACAACCATACCATCCACACTCCACCCAACCTCCCCGACAATCCTTCGAAAACATGGGCATTGGCCTTGACTACGGAAGCGCCGGCTATTGGGGTCAAATGATGCAAACTCTATCTGATACTCTGGGGCCGTCCCAACCATACCCTCCTCCGCAAGTCAACACACAGAGACCGGACACACCACAGCAACCTCGTCGTAGACCTCGTCGCAACGCGCGTCCCCTGCAATGTGGCACCAGTGATCACTTGGATAGAGCCGGTCATTAGTTTTTTTTCTTTTGTTCAATTGTAATTGTACTTTTCATTAGATTCTAAATTAATATAATTTATTATTTCTATATTTTATTTTAACATTTCTATATTTAATATTTTCTTAATGTTATTTAAATTTCAATTAATTATGAAAAACAAACAACATAATTTAATAACATATATTTATTAAAACCTAATTAAAATATTTATTAAAATGTGTATGTATAAATTTAATAACAATTACCATTCAAATATTTACACAACCAATTTATTAAAATATTTATAACAACTATAAAAAAAATTAAAATTAAATCATAATCAAAATTTAATTTGATTTAATCAAAATTCATTTTACATTAATAATTTAAAATAAGGTATTTATTAATTTAAATTAATTAAAAATAACGTATTTAAAAAATAGAATAAAACATTAATTGAAATTAAAAACATAATCAAAATTTAAAAAATATAAATCCTAAAGGAAATGGCTTATTTCGCCAATTGGAAGGGCGAAGCAGTTGGATTTTTGCCTCATTCGCCAATTGGTTTGGCGAGTTAGTCCAAAAGGCTTTTTGAAAGCCTCGTTTAAATGGTAATATATTTGGGAAACATAGCTAGTTTAAAAAAATTCTTGAATTGTCAGCTCACATATTATGACCCTTTTTCTTTGACTCAAGACTTCGTTATATTTTTTTTGCAGTTGCTGCTGGATTACACTTGCTTCTAGAGGCCTTAAAATTCATCACATCATCACAGTGTAATGCCCCACATAAATAAGCCAAACATCCCGAGCAGGAGTGAGCTTCACAAAACTGGTGCAGAAACAAATCATGAAGGCGGCTTGCTGATGGACCCTCTTCCTCGGCTTCAATAAGTGATTCATCATCATCAGCATAAACCATGTTGGACAGTAATATCGGAATAAGACGGGGCAAAAATTCTCTCAAGTTTTCTGGTGGCATTTGAGCATCACAATATACAAACCAAAATTCACAGGATTTGAGGGCCACTTCTTCATCTGTGTCCTTGTTGACCTGTAACATATATTCTATCACATTTTTTAGATGTGGCTTGAAGATATTAATCCATGGATATACATAAGGCAGAAGGCATCAGCATAATGTATTGATTGACAGAACCCAATGATAGCTTTCTTAATAAAGCATGAGGTGATTGGAAAAACTGAAACAATCTAGGAAGAAATATATTGAGGAACATCTTCACAAATCTTGGATAATGCATCCATTGTACCTTCCATGTGATTCAGATCATTATTGTCCAAGCAATTTAAAAGGGCTTACAATAATTCTGGCCACTGTGAAACTCCTCCAGTTTGAACAACAATGTTGATAATAGTTCCTGTTGTAGATCTTATGTGTTCATCTGTTCATTAGACCCGGTGCCATAGAAGGCGTCGACAATAGCATCGAGCAAGGGAACATCAATTGGTTGGGAGAAATCTCTTAGTTTCTTGGTTATTTTTACAAACAGATCATGGTTGTCATGACCATAAAAGAATGGCTTCTTGGGAAATATCATTCTAAAAAAAACATGCAACCAAAGCTCCACAAGAGTAATCATAGTCTTGCAAATCAACTAGAATTTCAGGGCCCTTAAAGTATCTTGAAACCACACATACAACATGTATAACATAAGGTGTACATTCTTCCAATCCATCATTCTACTCCAATATAAGTATTATGAACTTCCTTCAATTCCATCACCAATTATTTAGTAGAAACTTCCATAATTGATTCATCCATCGCCGCTAGTACCGTAAATGCAACATAGCCGAACAAGCAACTTTAAGTTGCAGTCAATTACATATGTGTGTCCATCATAATTCCATTTAACGCAAGGCCGACAAACTTTGACCACTTCTAATGAAAGTTTTGTCCAGTTTAATGCACCATAACTAGTTACGTGTGCTAAAGCACCAATGACCTTGCCTTCGAGAAATTGGAAAGTCCTACATCATCCTCAACAGATTTAGAGGTTGCCTCTTCAGCAAATGGACAACTACCCAAGCTAGTGACAAGCTCGTTATCAAATTCCCACCGTTGCCCAGTATTTTCGTCCTTGATGTGAGCAATGTAATGACCATTATTAACATTGGTTCCCTTGTGAATCAGTACAGTTGACAAGTTATATACCAATTCAAATTGAGACAACTCATATAGTCCAGGCCGCATATCAAGTTGCATAGGAAATGAAAATGCATAAGTAATTTTATATTTGTAGTAGTCTTTGGAAGAAAGACACAGCGTTTAAGTTGAAAATTAAGTACATTAGGTAGGGTACATAGCTTGATGTTGCGAGTAGCATCTACTCTTGTGTTGCATGACTCATAAAAATATTGATTGTCTCCACGAAGCTCTTCAACAGTTAGGTAATCATCCAGGATCTGATCTAAACTTTTCAATCCCTTGACATTCAACTCTAATTCATAGAAGTCTTCTATTTTGGAAGAAGCTTTAGAGTCTCTTCCATATTGCGAGCATATTGTCACTATTTTCCGTGAAAATTGGAAAACAACCGCTGATCTTCCAAATCTAACTTTGGTGACTCACAGGATTGATCAGATTGATCCTAGGACATGTGCTAAATATTGATTCAAAGTAAATTCTAAAGACTGAAGACTTCAACAGTGTTCATAAAGAAAAGTTTATTTAAAAGTATGGTTCGAAAGAAACACAAGAACATTAAATCGAAAGAAAGACTGAAGACGTTAAAGAAAGGCTAAACAAAATAAGACATAATGTTGAAATGTAATTTGCAAGAAATTAAAAGATAATCTCTTTTGATGAAAGGTTAAAGTAAATATCATTAAAGAAGAAAATGGTGTTTACATCGTGTACATTCTCCCAAAACTCTTTTCTCTACACACAGATACTTTGAGTAAATTTTGAGTAACTTGTACAAAGTGAATACAACACCCCTAATCCTATTGCTAGAACTCATATTTATAATAATAAAACTAATTGTCGTTAACTTCCTAAAACAATTAACATATGACAAGTGTCGTGTTGCATGCTTCTGTCTCTTGGATGTGCGTCACTTCTCTTATTCAGGAGTGGACAAGAATAACTATTTCCTCCTTTATTTGAATTTTAAATTCCCTTAGTGTTGGACATCATCATCATTCTCGGTCGAAGCTAGCTTCTCAACTCTTAGAAATATTTTCTAAGTCCAAAAAGTACCCCTTTCTTATGTGAGTGCCTTCGACTTAAACTTATCATGAAGATCCAGTCGAAGACTCCTTTACACCTCTTCAAGATTTCAACATTCCAGCCAATACTTCCAACTTAATATAGGCGTCAAATTTTTGAGCTAACAAATTTCCCCCAAAAAATGTCCTTTTAAACAGCGCTGAAGAAAAAGGTCATTTTTTGATAGTGTCCTATTTGACGCCATCTTTCGACCCCACATAGGTGTCAACGTAACTGACCAACCATGTCTCAAGAAACTGTTCAGTTTATTTTCAAACATATTCATGATGTCATGGCTGATTAAGAAAACAATTTCTTGGAAATCACATCAAATCCTAGACCATCATCATCTCTCCTAGGATCTATGAGATCGTGAGCATAAGTAATAACTTCCACCGCCCTCACTTTCGCTCCTAGGAAGTCACATGTCCCACTAGCTTTTAGCCCTTAATGATGATTAGTGACCTTTTATTACTTCTACACGCTTTATAAATAGTTCCTTCAGAAACTATTTTTACTTTTCCCATTCCAAATCAATCACTAAACGTTTTCTTCTCTTTCAAACACTCTCAACTCTTCACCCTCAGTAAACCCATCTTCTTCAAGTTCTTAACAATGGCATCTTCAACTACTATTACTCAAGATCAAAAGAAAAAATCGAAGGTCAAAGGGCCAAAGAGTGTGTCATTACTTCCTCCTTTTGCTACATTGAATGGACCCAAGGTAGTGAAGAATCAACAGTTCATCCCTGAACCCCTCAAAGAAGAAAAGAGACATATCTACGAATTTCAGGTAATGATTCATCTGACCGTTTCTGGAAAACCATTAGCTCTATCTGGTCCTTTATCCACTTCAGGTGTAGATTATGCAACCATTAGTGATTTCTTCCCTTCCTACTGTAAAACTAAACCCTTAGGGCAAAAGGATCAAGCCAGGGTAACCGCTAAACCTCATGATAGTGTAGCCTTAAAGAACATAGAGTTAAAGTATTTGAATGATGGGTCTAGGTTGTTTAGAGCAACCCCATATTTCAAAGATTATGACCTCTACTTGAACTGGTTAACCAAAGTAGAAAAAGTCAAAGCAGAAACTTGGAAGAAAATAGGGATTTAGGACTTGATTATGATGTCGAAGATAGGTCCCGCTTACTGTCCAACTCTGCTAGCTTCTTATTTGTATTTTTGGGATAGTATCCATTATACATTCCATCTCCCTTATGGGATGATGACACCCACCCTTTTCGATATGACCGCTATTACAGGGCTAAAACCACATGGATTAGTTAATGACCCCGAGGTAGATGCTCAAGACACCATAGGGTTCTCCACCACCAAACACAATTACACCCACTTCATAAACCATTACCATAACAAACAAACTGACACAGTTGAAGATCAAGAACATATAGCATTCCTAGCTATGTGGCTTTCTCGGTGTGTATTTTGTACCAAATCTCTGCAGGTGGCAAGGAAATACCTCACTCTAGCCAACTAATTGCACCTCAATCGAGGTGTTTGCCTAATTGAAATGATATTGGCCAGTTTGTATAAATCTTTAAGTGAAGGTGTTGGTCGACTGAAAGACCAAGAAAGCAATGGGAATCTCTTGTTGTCAGGACCTTTCTGGCTGCTCCAACTTTGGCTTAATGCCACATTTGAAACTAGTCTCCCTAACAAACGGACAGTCAATGAAGAAGATTCAGAAATTAAGGAAAGGCGAGTCGAATGGACTCGGCTGGTAAAGATAACCCTTAGCGAAGAAGGGTAGACACTTAGGGCATCCTTCTCTGCCTTCATCAAGATCTTTACCAAACGATATGAGTTTACACCAAGAATGGCCCCATTTGCAGAAAGAAAGTATGGTCCTGAATGGTTCATTAAGGCCTTCCCTCCTGCATTTAAGAAACATGAGGCAGAGTTGAAGCATGTCTGGGAGGGTTTTCTAATCCCTCGACTCATTTTTCACCAACTCAACCTCCTAAGGGGTCAAACAGCTTTGATGGCCTACCAACCAAATCTTGTCTCTCGACAATTTGGCCTCGTCCAAACTTTGCCAAAATATCTATATGACAAGAAGGTTCATGTGATCCTTCCCCACACTATCTATAATGGCATAAAGAGTTCGACACACCTAGCTCGACATGCGCACAAATAACTCCTTACTCCTGTCTACTTGGAGCCTTCTCACCTCTGCACCCAGGAGTTCTACAACTGGTGGTCGAGACATTATATTGCAGAGTTCCTTGACATTTCTAGCTTTGCTCAATTGCTTGACCAAGCTTTTATTGATGTGTAGAAGAAGATCAAGAAAGGTATATCCATTCATATCAAAGAGATTCAATCCTTCCATAAGCACTTTAAAACTGTTTATTGACCAGATGATGTTAGTCAAGCCATCCACGAAGCCGCAGTTACGCTGAAAGAATTTTTTTTTAAGAAAATGGAGAGCTTGAAACTCCCTTCATACGTTGCTCCTGAGAAACGCTATGAAGTGGCTTTCACACTATTTCCTCTAAAGACTCCTCGACTGCCATCTGCTGATTTTGGAGTGGCCTTTGCCCCTCCATTTCCCGATTGGTTCATCTGTGAGGATTCTATAAAGATTCTTTGTTAGCAGTTGAAACCCAAGGCTCAGCGGGTGGTTCCGACTAAGCATACGCTAGACAGTTTCAAAGGATACCTTCATATTGGTATCAAAGATGTTCGCATCAAATCCGAAATACATGAAGGTCATCATCCTTCGATTTTATGTCCTTTTTATTTGAACTTTATCATTACTAACTTGTGGTAACTTTGTTTGTTTTGCAGCTATACCCAAGAAAAGCACACCTCAAC